CAACTCAGCACACGTAGCTGGAAAGAAGGCAGGTTATAAGACTGTATACTGGTGAGACAAACAATTATCACTTTTCTTCACAAGCTAGCAGGTTGGAATGATCTAGAGATGCATACAACTACATGTACTACAAGGAAACACATAGTATACTATAATTACATTTAAAAAACTTCAACCAGGAAGAAATGCAAACTTTTGGGTTGTTTCCTACTTAAATCAAAGCAGTTTGATGATGACTGTCACAGTGGTTATTAAAGGTAAGAATATTTGATTTACCTCTTCCTCCTCCCCCTCCTCTTCCTCCTCCTCCTCCCCGCCTGCAGCATCCTCCTCATCCTCATCCATGTCCATCCCCGTGTACTCCCACCCACGGTACTGGTACGTCACTGTGGGAAGATACACGTTCAGCAATCAAAACCTAATATGTGCTATATGCACTGGATAGGCATAAAAGTGAGAACTTCGCCTTTACAGTATTCTACTTGTGAGAGATACAGCAATACTCACAATGTATATTTCTGAATTGGTATAATTACATATACCGGTAAAAGGTATTTCAACTTACTCTCAATTCTGTGGATGGCATCCTCCAGTTGTTTGTCCTCAGTCTTCCCTTCCACCTCTATATCGATGGGCATGAGTGAGGAGGTTCCTGAGATCACAGCCTTCAGCGACGCCCACTCCCGCTCAAATTCTCCCCTCTCCTGACGCCACTGCTCCACTTCTGGTCCCTCAGGGGGCACTGGGGACTGGACAAACAGGGATGAGAACATTCTTGTCATTGAAAGTTCCGTTTAAAATCTTTTATTTGACCTGTGTGTTTCTACAAGAGACTAAGAGAGCTACCATGTGCAATTATTAGCAGTACAAATTCGGCGCCAAAAATCTTACTCAGCAGGGCAAAGTGAGGAAAAATAAACTGAACTTCTTCAACCTGCACTAAAATTAATGAATTTAACTTTCTTCAAGCTGATTTCTACAGTACTACCAAAAGCAAATTTGTGATCAAAGCTGAACCCAAAGCAGAGAGATTGTTAGCCTGTATCTAAACAATATTTACTACTAAGTACAATCATACAATGTTAAGTATCTCAATTTAACAAGTGGTTTGTATTTTGTTTTCTTTTTGTTTTGTTATAATGGGGATGTAGATAATTACTCACCACTGGTGGCGGGGTAGGTTCTGGTGGAACTGTACAATAGGGGGAAAAAGGAATAAAAAGTCAGACATTACACATAAAACAGATTTTTTTCCCATCATTTCCTTCATGTGTTCCTGTGTGCATCATGTGTGTGTACTGAAGGACCTCTGTAACAGAAGGGTTGTTAGGTTAGGGATGAAGAATTGACTGTTAAACAAGACACATAACATACAGGAGGTATCTTCTCATGTAGGTGTAAGATTAGGTTTATCTTTATGTCTTAAGTTTGCCAATCTTTATTGTCTTTTTTAACCAATATTTACGGGTCATATATAAAAGAAAAGTGGTATGTTTGCATGAGGAAAGGGGGAAAGTTACAAGAAAATGCATTTTCATGACATGGGGAATGAATACAAGTACAATTATGTGTAAGAGAAGACTGTTTTGACATTTTTTCAAAGTTTTCAGACACCAAGAGCTCTTAAGGAGTGCCATGTTGCAGTACAAGCTTGGAATGTATATTCCAGCTGAGAGCAGAATACATGTATGATTTAACTGTCATAGAGCACTTAAACCGGCATATAAAATTATGCACATTTTTACTGCAGCAAGGTATGGAGCTTCGCAATCAGTCACAGTAAGCACTGACAGTTCAAGTCCAGCCGACAGTAGCATTTCATTCATTTCATTGCAATACTCGCTCTTAGCATGAAGAATTACATGTATAGCAGCAGCAGGATTAAAAGATTTATCATTGTAGTTAGGTGTTATAAAAGTTTACATTTAGGTAAGACTATTACCAGGTACAAGGATTTCCAATGTAATGTTAAAGATACAGAAAAACACATCACTGTTAATACTTTTTTGAAGTTGCTTAATTTAGTGGAAGACGTTATGTAGTATGTGGGATACAATTCAGTCTTGGCACAGGACAAGCTCCAGTGGAAGAAACTGACCACAGCCTTATATCCCGCAGTAGTATGAAGAGGATAAGTTATATAGTATAAATGTTGCTTGTTTTATAGATTAGCCTTAATCCCATTAATCCCGATTAGAGGAAGCAAAGATAGGTTAGTGACAGTCTCCAGGGCACAGCTGATTTGCATAACACAGCCACTCCACAGCCACCACGTAGGTTTGACTTCTACCTTCTTCCTCTGGTGCAGGGGGTTCTGGTGGAGGGGCCTCCGGCTCGGCTGGGGGTTTAGGGGAGGCGGCTTCTGCTTCTTCTTCTTCCTTCAACTCTTCCTCCTCAATCTCCTCGTCAATCTGGCTTTTCTCCTCTTCTTTCTCTTTCTCCTCATCCTCATCTTATGTTATTTGGGGAACATTGTGTGACATAAGGATGACTGAGGTAGGTATGTAATGTCGTGTGTGTTTAAATCACAGAGTGTGATGTTGAAGCTTGCTGTTACGTTTCTTTCTTCTTTTACACGCAAGTTGTTATACACAAGACTTTTTACAGCATTTAGAACTTGCACACGACAGAGAAAGCAGCATATTCTTTAATTGCAGTTTACCTTGAAGAGGTTTAGATTGTGGGAGCATATCTTAAAAGAAAATTAAACTTGGAAGGGCTGGTTGGGTCAAGTAGGTTTAGAGTGGGTAGAGTTACATTATAGTGATTTGGTTTCTGGAATTCAGGCTGTTTTACAGGATTGTTAGATTATTAGGAGACACAGCAGCTGAACTTCTTGCGTTTACAAAGAATTTCAAATTTTCAAAGTTAGCAGTCTTATTTGATGGAAGACAGAGCAGCCACATGCAGACACCAGAAAGTTTATCCTATGTTGCATCACATTTACTGCAGAGTCTGCTTGGGTAGAAATGCTGAGTTAGTTAACATAAGTTTAAATGAGAGTAAGACAGCCTTGTAAGTGTGTGTGTGACTGAAAACAAACAAAGACAAAGACCACAGTATCCTCACAGCACGACAGTGAAATGTCACAACAAGGCTTTACAGCTCAGCGCTCTTGTGAGCATGTCAGCAGAATATACGGCGCCTGTGCAAAAACAATAATGTATTGTGCATATATGTAATACATACGGTAATAGGACTTTGGCAGAATGCCTCGTTTAAGGTCGTATTCACATATTTATGGGTGATATCCTGTCAAAAGGAAAAATTCTGATGCAATGTTGACCAAACATCCAACGAAAACAGGGTTTTGCACAGGCACAGTACACTCTGCCGACGTGCTGCTCCTGTGAATGTTACAGTAGGCATTATGAGGAGACACAGCAGGGACAGTCACAGTCAGCCAGACCAGGCTTCAGCCTGACCACCACACCACACTGGGTACCTTTCGTCCCCTCCTCTCCCTCCACCTTTTCCCCCTCCCCCTCGGGGGGTTCCTCCCCCTGGGTGGGGGTAACGGCCTCGCCGGGGAAGGCTTCGGACGGAGGTTCTGCCGGAACCTCGCCTTCCGCGGGCGTTTCCCCCGCAGGCTTCTCACCCTCCTCCTCTGATTGGTTGTGACATTAGTGGTGCATTATGGGTGATGGTGATGATGGTTAGGTGCGGCGACGTGGTTAGAACGAGACATTGATTAATTTGGAGGCAACGATACAAATTAGATGATTTTCACATGCATGAAAACAGACATGATTATTACATGATCACGTGATTCTTGATGATTATTATTCCATTAACATGCAGGCATTTGTTGATGTCAATTAATCAATTATCGACACAAACAAGATAAAATTATCATTCAATCATGCAACACATGCATCTGTACAATGATAAGTGGTGATATGGATGACCCGATGACCCAATTATACCAGTTTTAATTTAACCAGAACAAAGTTTTGCTCTAGAATTAATGTGGTGGCATGGTAGTCAGAGGATTAGGAGGCAAAACCCTTTTCAGTGAGTACCTGTCTTTGTGGTCATATGACGTTAGCCTAGTTTATAGACCTACAGATCAAGATTTAGCTCAACTAGAACAGATCTGTACCCCACCTTTGCTTTTTTGGCTCTTCCTCCAACCTTGCCCATCAAATACCCTTGAACTGGCTATAGGTCCTTTTTTCTTTCTCAACTACAGTCCAATCACAAACATACCAGGTCCTGTCCTTTGTGCTGATTCTGCCAGCATGAAGAAACTTGCAGCTGAATCTAGTTCTAACCTTTACCCATAAATCCTAAGGTGCTTAACCCGACTGAGACACAGACTTGTACTTCAACAATAGGACAATGTTCTCACCATCGCTGAGTTCTCCTGCCTCGATCTTCCTGCGCCGTTCTTCCTCTGCAGCCTGCCTCTCTCGTTCCTCTTCTTCCTTCCTTGCACGTTCCTCCTCCAACCTGCGATAAAAATTTTGTCACAGAGATAGATCAGTACTGGTACTCATGCTATCTCTGCATGTAAGGATGGTAATTTTTATGTACTTAGAATTTGGACCAAGCAGTACTGTTCTGTGTGATCTAAGATACAAAAAATGTAAGGAATGTACATGTACAAGGAAATGTGCTACAGATTTTGGGTCTGACTTGAAATGCATTATATCCTATCTGCAAGCATCAAAGGTATGACATAAATGAACATCCAGAATGTGAAGCTTTACTGTGCATCCTGCAACAAGTAGAACAACCTGTGCTAGAACTCACCTAGCCTCCTCGGCTGCCTTTGCCTCCGCGGCAGCCTCTTCTACCTTCCTGGCGCGGACTTTCTCGTCGACCTCCTCCTGGTTGACCTTGTACCAACGCTTCAGCAGGTACGCACCATTCTCGCTGCTGTCCCGGAGACATATGACATCGTCGGGACAGATGTTCTTGTCCACCATGGCGGCCCACTGGTCACGGTTGTTGGGGAAGTTATCCAGGATCCAGCCACCAAAGCTAGAGAGAAACACATGAAATCAATCAACAGTTACTGTATCGTGCAAATCAATCGACTGTATCATGTAGGATACAATGTATGACAAGTTGGAAAATAGCACTACATAAGGAGTCTACACTATTCTAGTTTGTTTGTTTTATTTCTTTATGATGAATGTGACTTTGCCATAAAGGTGAAATTATAGGACAATAACTCACAAGGGTCCGTCTGGGTTCTTCGTACGCAGGTTGTTCTCCACCTCCTTGATCTTCTCCTCCATCACCTCCACATACACGTCAGGTGGGATGGTGATCGTCTGCTTCTCTGCCTCCTTCACCGCATCCTCCACCATCTTCAACACCTCAGGGTGGTTAGCATCAACTGGAAGACAACGGGACAGCCTTGGATTTTTTTTTAAGTATTGATTTTTTTAAAGTATTGTTGCTATATGCATTATGTAATATATGTGACAACACATTAATGACTTTTTGTGATATTGTTATGTTTGACTGTTGACTCTATTTGGATCCACATTTAGCATACAAATTGTTACTTTATTCAGAAACATCAGATCTTGTTGTCATAATACATTTCCGGTTACCGGTAAAAGGGCATGAAATATCTTAGAGATACTTGTTGGGGGCTGACTGTGGGGTACATATCAGACACATTCATTTACACAATATAATAAGTAATTTAATCTGTAGCCTTACCGACAATGGGCTCAGGTGCTTTTGGTGGCTCTGGTTTGCTCTCTGTAAAACAAAAGACAAGTCAGGAAGAGTCCATTGTGTGGGTTAGAGATTAAAAGGGACACCAGACAAGCTCGTTACAGGAGAGGGAAACTTCTGGAAGAGAAGGAAAGGAGTGGTGAATTTGAGGAGTATTAGCTATTTGTGTACAGTGTCAGTCAGCATGGTGGGGAAAGTTGTAGACTTGACATACAGGAAGGCAGAGAATATCTGTACTGTTATTTAATGTGACCTGATGAAAAAATCACCATTTAGAGAGATGGGATGAGAATGAGGAGTGTAAAATAAAGTTAGCCATTGTGTAGTCCAGTGTCAGTCAGCATGGTGGTGAAAGTACAAGTAGTTCTTCTTCTTATACACTGCTTAGCCCAATTTGCATCAGACTACGAGTAGCTAGTTATCAAAGTCAAAGACTTGGTGGTATACAAGAAGACAGGAAGATCTGTATTGTTAAACTGATCCTGATGAAAAACAAGTGGGGTGAGCAAGAAAAGTGACTGAACAGTACAATAAGGTTCATTGCATGCAGGGGGTGCTAGCATTAGCAGGAAGCACAGCTTGGGTACCGTCCCCTCCCTCACCAGTAGGCTCTTCCGCTGGCTCTTCCGCTGTTTGGTCCCCCTCCCCCTCCTGGTCTTTCTCCCCTTCTTCCTTCTCCCCTTCATCAGGTTTCTCCTCTTGGTCTTCTGCAGCCTTTTCTGCAGCTCCTTCTTCTCCTGAAGCAAGCAAAGCCTCTAGGTGTAACTATAAAGCCTTCTTAAAAATCTGCCTCTCTAGCAAAAGGAATGCTCTACTCATTAACGATAAGAAAGAAGCTTAAAACTCAATCTATCTCAGAGTTCCTCTGATACTGCCTGTAATTAGAAGGATTAGCAAACAAACGGTAGGCATAGCTATCTTACTGATCTAGCACTATCTGGAGAAATTGTCATGCAAGCTGAGCATGTATTTTAATCACATTAACCTTCTTTGCTCAGTTTTGCATACATAATGCAGTGCTTTAATATCTCTTTATTTCAGCCTGCTATACCTGTCTGCTTATCATCTGATGACACATTTCGAAGCTTTTGTCTCTGTCTTTCTCTGAAATTCCATTCATTCAAATCAGTGTCTCTTAGACTAACTGCCTCTCTAACTGCCTCTCTGGCTGTCAAACATCTTGTTGTTGAGCCTGTCTGTCTACCTGACTGCCTCTCTGTCTGTCTGTCTGTCTACCTGAGAGAAAAGAAAACTTGTGTATGAAGTACCTTCCTCTCCACCCTCCCCCTCTGAGTCCTTTGCAGCATCCTCTGTGGGCTCATCTGTCTCTGCTACATCCCCCTTCTCAGAGACAGCTGGGAACAGGAGGAAAAAACAACTTAAGATACGCTAATCAGATCAACTGTTGTGTAAGCACCTCCTTGTGTGTGTGAACTGTAATCTCTTGGTTGTCCGTGTAATGAAAGATGTATATTGTTGTATACACCAAAGCTAAACATACTAGTGCAGTATAGTACAAAGCATCTGTGAAGCAATGCTGTACTCAGAAGACTGATCTACAGTCTATGATATTTTCCATCATTCTGTACTCACTCTCTTCCTTCTCCAGAGCCTCCTGTTCCAGCCTCATCTTCACCAGGTTGATGGAGGATTCTAACGTCTCCTCTCGGACCTTCTGAATCATCTTCTCCTTCTCCATCTCTATACGAGGCTTGATCAACTCCTGCATGCTCAACACCTGCAACAAGATAACATTATGGGTCTTAGCTTTTCTTCAAGATAGACTTAACGGTGCACACACCAATTCTTCCGCGACAGGGGTCCACTGTAGTGCCCGGAAAAAAAGTGACGAAGGGGTTCCGATGGTTCATGTTTGAGTTTACATTTCTCATAATCTGCTGCAAAATGGGATTAACTACTAACATGGCTGGAAAGTGTAAGAAGTGGCGTGTTTTGGGTGAAAATTGATTTCGGGCCCGAGGCTTACTTCCGGGTATCCTTCCGCCCTGAGCGCGGTGCTTCGGTTTGACCTAGTTTTGCCTTGTATGCGTTCTGGGGGTGCTGTAGCTATGCCTCGCGCGACGGGCTATTGTGATAATCTCAGTGTTAGGATTTTCTTTATACTTTTCTTAATAATACATAAGTGTTTTCTCTTTCCGACCATATAAGTCATATCGGTGGCTAAAATCTGGGTGATGGGTTTAATTCCACGTGAAAATGGCCAATTTTTGGCATCATTTTTCATCGAAAAATTCTTTATCCCCCTAAAATTTACTAAAATGTGAGAGGTGAAAGAAATTGAAATTCTTTTGTTCTCGTAGCTAGAGGGATATCCTTCATTTGCAAACAGAGTGTTTTGGCTTAAGAGGTATTTCCTGAAAGAGACGGTCGCTAGAGTTGAGGGTATGCAGAATCGAATTGAGACCCAAAATAAACTGGGGTGTGCCCCCGTAACATGTCAATTTACTATTTCTTCCATAGAGCACTAGAATTTGTTCAAAAGAGTTGGTGAAACAGTAGACTTGACAATGACAATTGTTTTTGTTGGCAAGACTAATAAGCAGTGAGAGGTGCTTGAAAATATGATGAAAATCTGTCACCAGGAAATGTGAATATTTTGTAAAGAGCCATTAATACAAGATTATGTAAATGAGAAACAAAAGTTATATTTAAATCAATTTAAAGAACCTCTTCCTTGTTCTGCCCCATGAGTCTGGAATACAAATATTACAGATGAATTGTCAACACCTTAATTCCTGAACATTAATGGAAGACTAGAAAACAAAAACCTAACTTACCACAGCATTGTATTTCTGAGCCAGTAGATGACATATGGAGGTCTTGCCAGAAGTGGGGGGTCCGGTCACCACGAGCTTGCAGGGGGGTCTGGGCAGAGGGGGCAGTAAGTAGGGCCGGGGGTTCTTCAAGAACTTTTCCATTGCCTCTGGGGAGGATAGCACATATATCTTGTCCAGGAAACTGCAGGAAAGAGAAGTCAAAATAGTTTTCAATCCAAAAGTTATTTTATATTAACACATGTCAAAATCTTCATGCATTCTTTACAACAATAGTAAAGAAATTATGTATGAATCAGAGTTATAAATATTTTTCAAGAAATCATGAAAGATAAATTAATTACACATTACTCATCTTACATACCATAAAGCCCTCAATCTAAAAATCAGAACTCTTTTGACACTGCTTAAGTTCAATCTCACAAGCAGGAATGCAACATGTACTGAAAAAGTAGAAAAAAATTTGTGATGAAATCTACCTTTAAGTATTACTAATATAACTGTTGTTTCAAACAGTGATGTATAATGTACCTGACAGCGAATTCAGGTTTCCCCTGGACCAGGTTGCCCTCCGACATGGCGACAGGACAGACCCGTAGCCAGCGGCTGCGTCTCCAGCGGAAGCGTGGCGCGACCGTCTCCTTACTGGCCAGCGTGCGCAGCAGTTCCTCCGTCTCCATGTCCTCGGGGAGCTCCTCCTCCTCCTGGTCGTGGAGGCGGATGGGAACCGCCGCGCGCCGCAGGATGAACGTGTCCAGCTTGGTCATCAGCTGGGTGAACAGCAGGCGGTGGTTGCTGTTGGCGTCCAGCTCAATCAGGTACTGCTGGTCATGGTCAGCCATGTAGTCCTGCAAGGTACAGCACAAGAAAGATATTAGTAAGACAACAGCTACTATTAAACTGTAGTTTTTTCAAGACTTGTACAACAATGAGGGGGTTCACCATGCATTTTTGAGAGGTACAGAGTTTGACTGCCAAGCTACAGTCAGTCCATTATCAAATGATAAATACTCATTGTACATGGATATAAGGCTCCTCTAATATACAATTTACCTGCAAACAATGTGCAAAAGTAATATACAATTATGGTACAATGGAACTTGGCTATAGCAGCTTTATTAAACCATTCTGTGTGTGCGTGATATGACATTGTAAGGCATGAAAGTTACCTCCAGTGTCCTGAGCATGTTGTCCTTATACTCCTGTATGTTGTGTGTGATATACTCAGGCAGGTCCTCCACTCTCTTTACCAGGCGAGCCAGGATCTCTGGGTCCAGCTCTGGAGGCCCTTCATCTCCCTAGTCAGCAAACAAACAGATATTCAGTAACAAAGATGACTTTTTATTGAACTAGTCATAGAAAAAAACAGATATAACAAAGACAGGGCTTTTCATTGGTATTGTCATCAAACAAACAGATATTCAGCACCAAGGAGAGAACTAATCCATTGACCAGACATGCCTTTGGCACAAGTTGGATTACTGCAAGAGTAAGAGTACTGTAACTTATGCTTGAATGCATGAGTGACATGAATTTTGAAGAATTATTTCTTTATTCTGAATTGTATATGCTGATCAAGTATTTGAGAGCATTTGATAAGAGCCGGTAGTTTATCTCCCATACTTTTTAAACAGAGAACTACATACAAAACCTTTCGGGTCTTGTCATTTTACAGACTTTCAAGAATTCATGGACAAGTATGTTAGGTGTGCTTCTGTACTCTTAACAGTGTAAGATGTACACGGACCATTTTACTAAGTGAACCTCTACTTCCTACAGCACCATTCTCACCTCCTCTCCCTCTCCTTCCTCCTCTTCTTCTTCCTCCTCCTCCTCCTCTTCCTCCCCCTCCCCCTTCTGGGGTTTAGGCTCAGGTTTCTCTGGGTTCCAGATGTCTTCTGGGTAGAGTTCATTTGTCAGGGGGTCCACCCTCTGTCCTAGTCGCCGCTTCTCCAGATCTTTGTCAGGAATCTATGGACAACAAAGTATGAAAGTATTCAGTACAGATCACAAAACTATGGCTTTTCGGCCAGTATTTCACTATCTGTGGTATTCATCGGCTAAGTTACATTTCAATGTTAAGGGAAAGTTGAATTTTAGGTGTTTACAAGTAACTTTTTTTAAGATGGTGCAAAACTACTGTTAATGACATATTATACATTTGAACCTCCTAGCCTAATGTAGCACTACTTCATGAGTATATACTTACTTTGAGATTGACAATGAAGTCAGGTTTGAGTTTCCAGTTCTTGACAAGCTCCAGCTGTTCTGGGATGTTCATGTAACTCTCATCCATACAGGGGAACCCATCCAGAACATAGCCTGAACAACAACATAAAGATCTTATTAGGAAAATTAAATGGGTGGTGAGAAAAACATTTGAATATAAATTCCATATATGGGCAATTAGTATGGATGGTAATAGATTAACATTGAAGGGTCCACTACTGGCAGTTTTAAGAAAATTCCTAGACAGCATCCACTGAATTCTTAAATGGGAATCATCCACAGAACAAATTGACAGCAACAATGAAGTGCCTCACCGTGATGTGTGACCTCTGAAGAGTTGATCTTATCCTGGACCATCTTGGCCACCATTTCTTCTGGGATGGCTTCTCCTCGAAGGAGGATTTCTTGGCACTGAGACAGGAATAGAAAATAAGGATTGGCTGAGTGAATTCTTTGGTACAAAATTGGGAAACACATTGCAAATTTGTAGACAGTGGTGTGTGAGAGACTGTTAAGTTGTTACATTCTACTGCGTCAAAATGAAAGAGAAAAAGTTATAACATTACCCACCTTTATTCCCATCTCTGTCTGTAGTTCTATGTTCTGGTTGATGATGTCAGTGGCTGAAAGGAAAACCCAAGTCATGTCATTGTATCAATTTTTTATCTATATGCTTTACAAAGCATATAGATACAAATTAAAGAATATGAGATATATTAAACTTATGAGTACTAAAGATGATAAAAATAGACGACACAACAAGGATGCGTATGCCATAAAAGTGTCATCATAAAGGTTAAATGTATCCTGTAAACTTTATGTAAATGACAACAATCAGTAATAAGACACAATTAAGATGGATAAACACAAAAGTAAAAAACTGTTTTGTAGACAAAAATACTTACGATTTACTAGCTGTGCCTTCCATGTCATTGCCAGTTTTTGTGCCAGCATGGTTTTGCCAGACCCTGGCTTTCCTATGACTATGAAACATGTTGGTTTGGACAACAGGGCTCTCAATTCCGTCTGAAACGAAGAAAATATTCTTGTCAGCATATCATGCCATCATTCTATTATCTGCTTGAAATGGTCTCTGTAATAGTTACAATCAAGTTGAACTGCACTTTTTTGGAATATGGAATTGTACCCTGCATTAATTTTTTTTATAAATGAATTGTACTGTTTGGTAGAACAAGTGCAATAGAAGAAGCAAACTGTTAAAAAGTTCTCATTTTATTTTGTTCCTGATAACACAAGACAATATCAAATGACCAACCTCATCTTCGCTATACGGGTCTCCCTCCAGAGGTTTCAGCTCCTCAGGAATGTCACTCAGACTCATCACACTGATCCCAGGACCAATGCTCCCCCCTCCCTCATCAACTGATGCCTACAGGACAAGACAGCATCACACATGTTTCATAGTTCACAGAGTTGTTACAGTTTTATTGAGCCTGAAACAATATTTGATGCAGATTTCTAAATAAAAACACTATAATTTATTACCAGTGGAGACACGAATTTCTAAATATGTATAAACCTTATGTGACAGTATTCATAAACTCATGCAGTAAATGGAATAAAGGGACCAAACCATACTCTACGATATCATACATAACTTCATTGATTCAGTCTCAAAATTTTATAACTTGTGTTGCCAGGGGCCAGTAGGGCAAAGTTGTCTTCTCACAAGAGTTTTAACTTTTGAATTCATTTCAGGCTGTTTATTCTGATCTTTAGTGTGTATATTGCGTGTGAAATTTTGAAGGAAATAGATACCAGAAGTGATGAGGTTAGAAATCAACAAGTGACCTCGGTGTTTTGTATGCTGTCTATCTCGCTCAACGGATCCGAACCCCAAACCACAACATCACGCAATGATTTTAACCGCGATAATCCTGCTGTGCGTGCGTGTAGACAAACGAAACTCACAAGGGAGAAGCACTATCTGTTCATAATATCAAAAATATCAATAAGCACTCTTAAAGTGTCATAACGGGTTGAATATTTGGCATAAAATTCAAATTAAAATCTTACCTGTTCTACGTCCGCCATATTTGTTTGGTCGCCATAGAATCGGTGGATGATACCATATATCTAATAGGGGTGAAAATACGATTTGCGATGAAATTCGGTATTATAGTCAAAGTACTATAATTTCATTAAACAATTGTACAATAGATACTAATTTATTCAAGGTTATGCATAGACATTTGATCAAATTGCCATACAAAAAAATCCATATTTGAACACACCCCTACTTTTACCGGCAGTGATAGAATCCAAACGTACACTTCCCACAATTCAATGCGCCAGCGCCAAATCCAAAATGGCGGAGATTTGCCAAAATGTATTTTTTTCCTCACGTTTCTTTGGAATAGCGCTTTATTTTGGAAGGTATTTAGGATAATACAAAGTGAAATATTTTCAGGCACGAATATAGGACCTATAGAATTGTTTATTTGCCGTAAAAGCCGCAAAGTTGGTGAGTATTTTTGCAGTTATGGGTCAGTGAAACTATGGTTCATGTGTTGTTGACATATCAAAAATATCAACCTACGTATACCGTGGCCGACAAGTACAAAATTTTACACCGCAACTTTTGGTGTTTTACACCGCAACTTTTGGTGTTTTACACTGCAACTTTGGGTGTTTTACACTGCAACTTTTGCTGTGTTTTACACTGCAACTTTTGCTGTGTTTTACACTGCAACTTTTGCTGTGTTTTACACTGCAACTTTTGGTGTTTTACACTGCAACTTTTGCTGTGTTTTATACTGCAACTTTTGCTGTGTGGAAAACTTACACCCCTCCCCTTTATAATGGACGGTCCCCCTGTCAGGTCAAAGGTGACAAAGATGGCGGCGGCCTGAGAGTCACAGTGTCGTGCTGTGACTGAGTGTGAGACAAACGATGTCCATACCCAAAAATAATGAACTAACCTGCAGAAAATTTATGTCATTGCTGTTGATGTCTGGAGCTGGATATCTGACGTCCTTGATAAATTTGTTGTGTCGCATGGCAGCAAAAAGCAACATAATTTGTAATCACTGGACCTGGTCGAAACATTTTTAAATTTATCCCGATCTATAGGCCAAAGCTAGAAAAACCTTTAGAAAAAAACTAACGTCACAACGTAGCCAAGCTTTTCCTCTAAAAAACTTATGCACGAAAAGGATAACTCAGTCGACGTAGTTTGCATGCCATCGTTGTCACCTTTGACCTGACAGGGGGACCGTCCATTATAAAAGGGGAGGGGTGTAAGTTTTCCACACAGCAAAAGTTGCAGTGTAAAACACAGCAAAAGTTGCAGTGTAAAACACAGCAAAAGTTGCAGTGTAAAACACAGCAAAAGTTGCAGTGTAAAACACCCAAAGTTGCAGTGTAAAACACCAAAAGTTGCAGTGTAAAACACCAAAAGTTGCGGTGTAAAACACCAAAAGTTGCGGTGTAAAATTTTGTTCTTGTCGGCCACGGTATACGTATATCAACAACAACAACAACAACAACGTTTGTAAAACATTCGTTCGAAGACCAAACAGCTTCATAAAGGCCTATAATGAAGTAGATTTGTATTAAACTTGACACATTCTTCCTGTTGTCTTTCAGATGAGTGACAGCACAAATTACTAGTGATGAACAGTACTTCAACTTGACATCCCATCTGCACCATAATAATTTTTGAGTGTGATCACAACTGTCACCATGATCCGGACACTAAGCATAGCACGCCTCTGTCTGCTCGCCTTGGGAGCCCGCCTGGTGCTGATAGCATACGGAGAATGGCAGGACCGCACCATGCTCGTCAAGTACACAGACGTGGACTACTACGTCTTCTCTGATGCTGCCCAGTACATCACTAACGGACAGTCCCCATACAACCGTGCCACATACAGATACACCCCCCTCCTGGCCTGGATGTTAACACCCAACATTTACCTCTCACCTGTGTTTGGCAAGCTGCTCTTTGTTCTAAGTGATGTCATATCAGGTTACTTTATGCACCAGATTCTTCTGTTGCGGGGAGTGGATGAGAAAACGAGCAAGGTTTGTGCGTCCGTGTGGCTGTTCAACCCTCTACCGATGGGAGTATCTAGCAGAGGCAATGCGGAAGCTCTGACTATCATGTTGGTCCTGGGAACACTGTACTTTGTCATGAAGAAATGTACCAAGACTGCCGCCTTTCTATATGCCACCGCAGTACACTTCAGAATCTACCCTGCGACATACGCTCTTCCGTTGTTTCTCCTATTGGACGAGGAATACACGGGTCGTAAACAAGCAACCAAGACGACGTTAGACTTCATGCGGTCTTTAGTCAACCCTTCACGAGTGCAGCTTGTGCTTACATCTGCTGTGACGTTTGTTTTGTTAACAGGGTTATGTTTCATCATGTATGGACAGGAGTTTGTTGAAGAGACCTATCTGTACCACTTGACAAGGAGAGACATAAGACATAACTTCTCTGTGTACTTCTACATGTTGTACTTGACGTCGGAGAGTGAGTGGTCCTTTGTGGTGGGGATTGTGACGTTCCTGCCCCAGGTTGTCCTGTTGGTTGCCGTGTCGTGTTGGTTGTACAGAGACCTGCCGTTCTGCTGTTTTGTGCAGACTTTCCTGTTTGTAACCTTCAACAAAGTCTGTACTTCACAGGTGGGCAAGACTTCAAACTTTACATAAGTTGGCTCAAGAATGACACATAACTTTGGACAAAAATAAACAGAGCACAGATTTTTAGCATCCATTTTAAACATTTTTTTTCTGTGTAAGGCAATTCTTCATCCATTACATAAAACAGTATTTTCATGACTATATGAGGACTTATTTACATGAAATGACTCATGTTGTTGCTTCTGTGTCCCATAATTCCCAGTACTTCCTGTGGTACCTGAGCCTACTTCCTGTCATCCTGCCCTCTCTGAAGCTGAAGATCCAGGATGCTGTTACCATGGCAACCCTGTGGTTCCTGGGGCAGGCCCTGTGGCTGCTCCCTGCCTATTACCTGGAGTTCCAAGGACAGAACACTTTCCTGTACATCTGGGCAGCAGGGATCCTGTTCTTTGCCATCAATGTGTGGATTCTGATAAAGCTGCTTAATTCACATGTACACGAGCCGATGTTTCACAATGGAAAACTTGTTAAGTTGAACATGAAGGATCAGTAACTGGCTTGATGTATACATCTACTTAGTAGTATTGTTTGAGAAGGGGTGAAGGTAGTTTCAGTGAGGACAAAATGTTTTTGTTACTCAATGCGGAAGCGATGGGATCTGCTTGATACGACTACAGTACATGTATTTTAATTGAAGTGTTGATATTCAGTTTTGCCTTTTTACTTTTAACATAGTGTAGAATAATGAAGAGAACTTTTGATCATAGCTTTATTCCTCTTAGTGTTTTAAACTTCAATTTCATATGAGATGTTTCTGAAATAAGTATGTAAGAAATGTAGTACATACACTTACTGTGAGGTTGAATTGTTTCTCCTATGCAGATCATGACTTTTCATAGAAAAAGTTAAAGCTAAGAGTTCAGTATGGATTAATAGAATGTTTGCTTGCATAGTCTAGACTAGAGCAAAGTCCCTCTGTGTTTTTACTGTGGATAGTGTCAAGGTTGGATTTGTGCCAAAGTGGATTTATTAGAAATATTCTACACCTGCAAATGTCATTCAGTTCATTTTTTACATACTGGGACTTGGTACTTAAAGTTTGGTGTTATCTGGATAAAATACATGATGCATATATACATTACATCATTGTGTGGAAAAACAAACCTGTAAGTAAAGACAATCAATCACACCTGTCTCAATCAATTTATTGAACCTCCTTGATTTGCCTGCATATCACAAAGAAAACATCCCTCCCAAACACACCCTAACGATGATCACAAAACCTCCTTCCACATATGGCCATTAAAGAACGCCAAATTGCCCGTAATCTGCCTGTGTCCATTCCCGCGCCCATAAAAACTCATTGCTGCACCCCAAAACCAGGGGCTCTTATTGGCACTCAGATCAGGCAATCATTAACAAGTGTAAACAAAACTACCCACGTGCCACACCTGTAGATCAAAGTCCGTAGGTCTATCACAACATTCTCACGACGACAGGCAAAGCCAGTAGCTAAAGAAAAGGGGCCAGCCTGCTACATGTATGAAACCAGCGCTGGATTTTATGTAAAACTGCTTTAAACGCTTCGTAAAGATGTTGGAGCTGTTGACGAGGCTTGTCCTTCTAGCGGGATGTATTGGGACTGCACGTTGTGAAGCTACCGGCTCCCCGCTGCCACCTGTTGGTCATTTCTACGTCAAGAACGAGAGGGGGGACAAATGTCTCCTGTTGGACATCTCCGCCACTTTTCACGTCGAGTACCTAAAAACAGACAACACTACGGACACGGTCTCGTACCCTCTGCCCAACAATAGCTACGTCACTGGAATATGCGCCCATGGATTTCACGAGCAGACAGCCGTCATGAACATCAGCTTTCACGACACATCTCCACATATGGGACATTTCGGCATGAACCTTACATTCTCCAGAAACTTCCCCTTGATGACACATTTTTGGCTTTCGGAGGTCTCCATCTACTACCAGCTGATACCGGCCCTGTTCCCAGACGCGTTGGACTTGAACAAGACCCTCATCTCCACCGTCTCAGGGATTCAGGCGATCAAGACGTCTTCTAACGCCGTGGCCCCTCATTCATACCTATGTAAGAGGGAACAGGAGTTGTTTCGAAGCCATGCTAACGATTTTAATGTTCCGCTTAGCGCCAACTTAACTGTTTACAACATCCAGGCCCAACCGTTCGAGGTGAACGACCAAGGCACGTTCTCGCTCCCAGAAGAGTGTGCCCAAGACTATCAGCCAACGACGAACCCCCCTCCACCAACTACAACCCCCTTTCATGATGTAACCCCGTCCTTAGTCTTTCCCGTTGGATATTTTTCTTTGAATGACTCTAGAGGCCAAGTGTGCCTGTTGGCAAATATGGGCGTCTTGTTTCGTGTCGAATACCGCACAGACAACGGCAAGAGCAGAAACGCCACCTACGTCCTTCCTGCGAACTGCAGCGTGGGCGGGTCTTGTGGGGACGACCAGGCGACCTTGACTTTGATGTTCACCGACACCTTTAACCTCAGTTTATCCTTTTATTCCGACGGGAAAAGGTTTATTTTGAATAGCCTCGTGGTTGGTTACCAACGCAACGCACGGTTCTTTCCCGGCGCCGACGACCCGAACACGTCTGACATCCAGGTAGCGAACGACTTGTCCCTCTTCGATACCCAGCTGGGAAAATCGTACAGGTGCTCCTCCCAGCGGAATTTCACGGTAGGACAAAGTGTGGTGCTAGAAATACTCGAACTGCACGTCCAACCGTTCGGCGTGAAGGATGGCCAGTTCAGCGATGCGGTAAGATGTCCCCAAGACTTGCTCACCACAATATACCCCGTTCTGAACGCCACAACAACGTTACCAGCCACCACAGTGCAAACGACCGGTGTGACGGACACCATTGCCCCTGCATCAACTATTCTCCCCTCATCTACCCCATACACGCCCACAACGCCTCCTCACAAGCCCTCAAAACCCCTGCAGGGCCACTACTTTGTTAAGAACTCTACAGGACAGATTTGCCTGCTAGCTAACATGGGCGTGCAGTTTATTGTCAAATATGTAAGGCAGGATAGCAATGTAGGAGAAGGCGTCTTTAACGTTCCTGTAACCGCCGCAGCCTCAGGAGCGTGTACGGATAGTATGTCTTCCCTGACTCTAAAGTTTTATGGCGATACGTTCTATGTAACCTTTACCTTTTCCCAATCAAGCGAGAAGCGCGGTGGTCGGTACCGGCTAGCTAGTGCGGAGCTGTCCTACACAGAACTACCGGTCATCTTTCCGAAGACGATAGCACCGAACCAACACCGCCGGGTAGAGAACATGACCCTGAACGTCTTCTCCACAGATGTGAGCAAATCCTACAAGTGTCTGCCAGACGTCAACGTAACGGTCACTAAAGAAGTCACCATGCTGGTGCGCCAAGTTCAGCTTCAGCCGTTTCACGTCGACAAGTCGGGCAAATTCTTCACAGCAGAAGACTGTGCACAGACTAGTTCAGAATCTATCATACTCATTGTGATGTTAGCTTCAACTCTGCCAGCTACCGCTCTGATCATTGCGATGATCAGCTGCATTTGTTGGAGGAGAAGAAGTAGAGGGACAGCGGCAGATCTAGAAAAGGAACCTCTCATCAAGAACTTCATTGAATGACACAAACTTCAATTTGATTCCTTCCACTGTAATTTTTGAAGGAGAACTTTTGCCTTTTTTGTATATTGAAGTGAGAAAAGAGTTGTGCACTATAACAGCTCTGTTAGTTCTAACAATATGTAAATGATAGGAGTAAGAACTTAATAGATTACATTGTATTAGCTAACTGTATATACCAACTGTGATGTTCACTATGTAAATCACCTATGTGCAGTGGCATATTTTTATTGAAAGGTGATCATTCCAGTGATACAATAAATAAAAGCTTGAAAACTCTGTCAAGTCTTTGAATCTTTCAAATCCTTCATAGACCCAGTCGATGCTCTGCTATGAATAAGTTCCAGCTAGGATCATGTTCCATTAATAAGTAGAAGGATTTGTATCTAAATCTAAATCTGTACCCTCTGTTTTGACGGGAGTGTCCTCTCCCTTTTCTTGAAATCCACTCCAACCACAAACGCACACTGAATTTTTCACTCCGACCCTTGACCCATACCTAAAAACATGATGACATAGGCCAGTCCATTTTCTGTACAGGTGAATTTTCTCAGCAAAACAAATCGACTCTATTGCATACATATCATTTGGTAGGTATCAATATATTGTAATGGCAATCAATATTATGTAATATGAAACGTGCTGAATGCAGTATTCTTCACCGCTGTTTTGAACGTTCAGAATGATAAAACACGATGACTGTGTTCCCTTGCCCCGTCTGTGCGTTGCACGGTGCCAACAACAAGCTTTGGGCTCATGCCAACCATGCCTCCTAAAACTAAAGGTAGGTTGCCCCTTTTCAAACAGGTGGTCTAGACGTTAGCAAGTAGTAGGTCTCCGTCTAAATCTTGACCTCGCTTCATCTGGTGACAAGAACATTCATAGTGTTGAATTGTTTTCGTAACTGCTAAAATATATATAACAGGTATTCTCCTAACGGCCTATATGGCAGGTTGAATGGTCAACAGGGCAAAGTTCTCCCGATCTCGGCCTTATCGTGTCAGGTTGTTGACACTCTCTGACACAGCGGATACTTGTGTTGCCTAGCTCAGCAAGGTAGAACACTAATACTTCTACGTCATTCAAAATTGGGTCAACTTTATTGGAAGGACATTGGAAGAGCAACCAGGGAAACATCTCTCTATCTTTGCATTGTTTCTCTCACAAGCCAAAATCAAAGCTTCGACACTGACAAAAAAGTAAAGTAATGGTGCACTCAAATTAGTTTTTGGCATCGCCTCAGGGGCGAATCAAATGAAACTCATAAAATTGTGTTACAGTATTGAACAGATCAGTCAGCAAAGATGAAGTGTGAATCGTAGCACAGAACATCCCGATTTCATGTTACAGGTTTGCTCGAGCGGCTAAAGGCTGGCGAGACCGTCATCTGCGCGGAGGGATATCTGTTCGAGTTCGAGCGACGCGGTTACCTGAAGGCCGGGGCCTACGTACCGGAAGTGGTGATAGAACACCCAGACTTGGTGAAAGGGTTGTACCGAGAGTTTGTACATGCCGGAAGTGACGTAGTACTGGCATTTACGGTGAATTTTACATTTGCTTATCTAGAAAAATGTATTGATCATGAACATATCTAGACGTATGATTAGCGTCGAAACGCCCTGTGTTGTGTTTTAACTCATTTTCGTTTTCTCGTGATTTTCGACGTTGTTCAGATTTAAAAAAAAGAAGTACTGCATGCATTCTTCTCTATAGAAAACAGAAATCTAATTTTTTCCACACAGTACTATGGGCACCGTGAGAAGCTGCGGGTTATCGGACGGGAGGCTGACCTGGAGACCATGAACCGGACCGCCCTGAAGCTGGCCCGGGAGGTGGCAGACGAGACCGGCACACTGATGGCGGGAAACATCTGTAACACCACCGTGTTCGACCCCAACATTCCCGCCACACGCGAAGAGTGCATTACCATATTTAAGGCAAGAGAAATAATGTTATAAGTTAGATAGAAAACGCAGCAAGCTACCTATGTTTTCATGGCAGGATGGTTGGCAAAAGTCACTATTTGGAAATGCTATATGCAAAAGCATCGGTCGGACTTAAGCATCACTGTAACATACAGAATCACGTCCCCTTTTTGCCATTTCCTAACCAGTTAAATGCCGTAAGCAAGATATTTCAAACCTAGAATGTAGCTTTCACGTGAATGTCGTTTGCAGGAACAGATCGAGTGGGCTGTGGAGGAGGGGGCGAACTACATCGTGGCGGAGACTTATGGGATGGTGGCTGAGGCCATGCTGGCGCTCGAGTGCATCAAGAAGTACGGCAAAGGTAAGTGCTGAAGTTCCTTGAGAAATTGTAGCCTTCTTGTAAAACGTTTGATTCTACACCCTACAGAAGACTTTTAAATTTTTCTCCCGTTACATTACAACCATGCCCCCCGGCCCGATTCTGGGACCTAACTCTCTGTGTCTGACCTTTTGTGTATGCTAGGGGATTCCTCACCTACGTGCTGTAACTGATTTAATATAAATAGAACACACAAGCAAATTACACACACACACACACACACACACACACCAAAATTTTAAAAACACCTTAAAAACAATACTATTACTAACACGGTGCTAAAACCGATATTTTGTGTGTGTTTGGTCAGGTCTCCCGGCGGTTGTGTGCATGACGTTCCACAAAGACGCAGACCGGAGTGTGGACGGACACTCCCTGCTGGACTCCATGCGCGCGCTGGAGGAGGGTGGGGCCGCCGTGGTGGGACTCAACTGTGGACGGGGTCCCTTCACCATGCTGCCGCTGGTGGAGAGGATCAGGGATGAAATCAAGGTACAAAATCAATGATGAAAATCACTTACCTGAAATTCTGTCCACGTACTTTGCAGATAGGGGAGTTTACTTTCAATGAAGCTTCAGAGTTCTAATTTATGATTTATAGATATATCTAGGCTGATAATGTGAACAAGTGATAAATAGCAATCCTGTACTTGATTGTAGGTTCCCGTCGCTGCTCTGCCCGTGCCGTACCGTTGTGACGAGCTAAGGCCGACCATGCAGTCTCTGGTCAACCATAAAGGTATTGCGTACGCTTTTACATCGGATTGATACTCAATGTCTATATAGTAGTCCGGATCCGTAGCCGTGGCGACTCTTGATTCGGGCTTACATTGCATTACCCTCAGACAAGAGTCGTGGAAAGATGCATTGGCAGAACTGCACATTTCCCGTTGGCTGCACGATGCTCCGTTTTTGACCCGGTTTTTTGCTGTCCCGAGCTTCCCTACAATATAACTCCACAATTGGCCGGGTTGCCGATGTTTAGATCAGCCTAAATATTCCACAGCGCGACAGAAAAGTAGTAAAATAGCTAGTCGGCACAAGGTGGCGGCCATCTTGGACATAGTCGGGAATGTCCGCTACCGCCGTCGGGAACGCTCGGTAGCGTCACGATTACCGAAGCGCGACCGAAAGCTCTCCGATTATAACCGGAAAGGCTACCGAGCGTTCCCGACGGCGGTAGCGGACATTCCCGACTATATCCAAGATGGCCGCCACCTTGTGCCGACTAGCTATTTTACTACTTTTCTGTCGCGCTGTGGAATATTTAGGCTGATCTAAACATCGGCAACCCGGCCAATTGTGGAGTTATATTGTAGGGAAGCTCGGGACAGCAAAAAACCGGGTCAAAAACGGAGCATCGTGCAGCCAACGGGAAATGTGCAGTTCTGCCAATGCATCTTTCCACGACTCTTGTCTGAGGGTAATGCAATGTAAGCCCGAATCAAGAGTCGCCACGGCTAAGTAGTCCGCACAAAGAGTGCGTGTTGTTTATATCAATGGACATCTTCAATGCTGTGTTTTTGTAATGTTACATATAACAAAACAGGACACCTTATGTCTTTAAATGTCACGGGGTGTTCGTTAGGGTTTGGTGAGTGTACAGGACGTTTTTTTATTGCTTTTCCAGGAGAGCGAGCCTTTCCTGTGGACCTGGACGCGTTCCTGTGCAGCCGCACCATGATCGCAGAGTTCGGGCAGCGCTGCCGGGAGCTGGGGCTGCAGTACGTGGGGCTGTGCTGTGGGAACGCCTCGCACTTCACCCGGACCCTGGCCGAGTCCCTGGGCCGAACTCCGCCCGCCAGCAAGTATTCTCCCGACATGAGTCAGCACTTCGCCTACGGGACCGACAAGAAGCTCCACAATCTCAACACAGAGAAAGTCGTCAAACTCTTGTAACCGTAAACTGACGAAGTTGAGCTCAATGCTGACAGTGCGAATGCATCTCATTTAGCCATTGTTGACTGTATCTGATGTTTCCGGATACATATTTTGTAACAAGCTAGCGATCCATAAGCATCTTCAAATACAGATTAAATCTGCATCATCATCGCAAGGTCGTAAGATAGCACAAGTAGAAACCCATATCGTAGATCATGATCACATTAACAGGTCAATAAACCATCGAAAGATATCATTCATCCAAACAACAGAGGTCGTATAATGTTGAGGCACCTACAATTGTAAAGGTTCTGTATCGGAATGTAAATTTTTTACTGTACATTGTTAAAGGAGTACTAACCTCCAGAAGGAGGTGCTATATTTCGACAGGCATTTATTTTTGGAATTGAAAAATGCATATTATTTTACAGTGTACAATTAAATGCCCATTTTGCGCGCAAGTCTTAAAACGCATCGAATCCAGGACAAACTCTCCAAATACCCTCAAAACTATCCCAGAATACACCACGCTACCCCATTGGTGTCTATGTTTTAAACAAAAAGTTACGTTACAGACCTCATTTCGGGGGCGATAAGAAAAATTCGTACCACTTTGTGTTCTTTGGTATCTTACCAACCATTGTCCTTCTTGGTGTTCTTATCGCCCCTCATTTATGCCGCAAATATTGACGATGAGAAAACGGCGTAATCTAGTTATCCTTTCCATAAGTGGCGTAATCAAATTATCTGTTCAAGTTATACTTACATGCAAATAAGTTGAGAAAATCAAAACACGCAGGATGAAACTGGCTCCCACTGTATTCGACATCCTGACATCATAATATCCAAGCCACAGGTCAAGCAAAGTAAAGCAAGTAATTTCTCAATAAACAGCTTGTTAGTGTGCTTGTCTCCTACCATTTTCGCCGAAAAATGTTTATGTTGACTTGAAGTGTATGAGTATTGCGTAAGCCAGAATTCCCGGATGTGTCAATTGTGGTTCAGCATGGGGGAAAATGATATTAATATCACTTTACAAACATGCGCCGCTCAACTCGTACAAGCGAAATTATGTAAAAAGTCGGCTAGTTATGTATTCACTGCAGCATGATGTATCAGAAAATAGCACTTTCTTCTAGAGGTTAGTACTCCTTTAAGTTGGAATGATGTAACGTTGCTT